TTGGAAAAAATGTTACTTTTACCTGGTTAAAGTTTAGAAGAACTGCTTAAAAATTACTTTTTTATACTTTTATAAACACCTCAGTGATTTTTTTATTTGTTTGGATAAAAAGTACTTGGGACTTTATGTTTTAAAATTATAAAGGCGTGCTGCATCAGGACTATACCCTGTCTGTGTGCTGAAGAAATGATTTGGGTAGCTGGACTTTATCAAGAAGAAAGTGGCGTCAGGATTGGAGGAAGACTGAGTATGGAGATGAAAAAACTTTGCTTGATGAAAGTGAAGAGGACCTGAAATGCTTACTACAGAAGATGAAAGACCACAGCGGTAATAAGGATTACATCTCAACATCAAGAAAACAGAAATCCTCACCAGTGGGCCAGCACCATGATAGATGGAGAAGAGATTTAAGTTGTCAGTGATGTCATCTTACATGGATCCACACCATTGGCACCAACAATCAAGAAATCAAAGGACAAGTTGCACTGGAGAAATCTTTCAGAGACTAATCCAGAATTCTAAAGAGCAGTGATGCCAATTTAAAGATACACATGATCCAGGCCGTGGTCTTCTTTGTTGCTTGCTATGTGCATCTGAAAATTAGACAGTGACTGAGAATGACAGAAGACTTGATACTGGCCTTTTTGAGTTTCGTTGGAGTGCTGAACGTCCCATGGACTTTCAAGAAAACAAGTTTATCCTAGAGAAAGTGAAACCAGGGCACTCCTTAGAGGCAAGGATGATGAGACTCCATCTGACATTCTTTGGGAATATTATTAGAGCAAACCAGTCCTTGTAGAAGGACATCATGTTTAGAAAATTGGAGGGTAAAAGAGGAAGACCCTCAACAAGATAGATTGAAACAGTGATTGTAGCAGTTGCTCAAGTGTGTCAGAGATGATGAGGATGGCACATACTAGGGCAGGGTTCAGATCCATTATTCATAGGGTCATTACAAGTTGCAGTTGACTTTACGGCATGTATCAACAGTTACAGGATATTCTAGTGTATTATTTTCAAACTTTTGAAATAATGCAGTACATCATAAAATGTGTTGTTGAGATATATCTTTGGATGTGCATAAATCTGAATTTATGTGCCCGCCTGTCTGTGCGCGAGTGCTCGCGCGGGTGTCCTTGTCTCTCTGCGGGGGTGGGGGGAGGGTGTGCACTCCTCGGGGGATTTGTGCCTGTGTCAGAGCGCGCCGGAGAGCGTCTGTGTGTGCGTGTGCACGTCCGAGCCGTGTCACCCCCGTGCGCGCGCCCCTGGTCTCTTCACTGACCCCGCCCGCGCTCTGTGTGCGCTCCGGGTGAGTGTGTGTCTGCGTCCGGCTCTCTGTGCGCGCGAGCCCGTGAGCGGTGCTGCCCTTCAGTTATTTCAGATCATTCATAACATTCTTCAAGGGGATGATGTGAAATTTGACATTTTTCTCAGATTGTACAATCTTTTGAGAATATGATTGTTGTTGAAATACACTATAATCTCTGGTAAAGCAAACTAAACAAAATTTTATCAAAAGAGCTGAATTGTTTTTTCAAAACCAAAACTTTTTGTAACTGGAGTTTAGAACAGCACTTCAAAAATGAGCAGTTGAGATTTACCAAGATTTATCATCTCATACTTTCTTTTTATTACTTTTTATCACTTATTGTTTAGTAATTTTATATTATGATGAAAACAGCAGAAACAGCTGTCCCTTCCACACATACAGCTCTCCTGTCTGTACCGAATTTCAGTAATTATGATCTCTTTAGAGAAATGACTAGGGAGGGGGAGACCCAAGGGAGTCCTTGCATTTCTTTAATTCTCATTCCTAATAATTAACACCTTTTCCCCATGGACCAGCCTAATGGCGTAATCCAGCTTAATCTCTAAGGATTGTCGTTTTTTATTCTTTTATTCCAGTTTACTGTTGAAGAGAATAATTTGCTGTCACTATGCTTTGTTACTTGGTTACTGCATGTTGTTGTCTTTCCCCAGAATGATTACTGTACTTTATCTCATACTGTCTTGTTTAAGGTGTGTTAACTGTCTTTTCAGTTAATGAATTCTTAAATTTTACATAACTCCTCTTGAGCTTTCCCCCTCTCACCCTACCCTCTCCAAGTTCTAGAGTTAACCTGGATTCTAATACAGATATAGCCAAATGCAGTGCTTCCTACTGCTTTTTCTCCTCTTTTGGACAGGGACTTCTCATGTATATATTAACCCCTTTCACTGTTTATAACCCAGTTCTACTTAAAATTACCTGTCAGTTACAAAAATCTCTTTAATCTCGTCCCCTTTTTCTTTGTAATGTTTTTCATTTATATTTAGAGATAATATCCCTTGCTTGCTTTCTTCTTTTCTGTTTGTAAGGCAACCCTCCAAAAAATAAAAAGTCTCTTTAGTATGATACAGATGCTTTGAATGCTTTATGTGTAGCAAGCAAAAAATTACTTGATAAAATTGATGTCAGAAACTTCCACCAAAGCTCCTAGAAAATGGAGAAAAACCCAAACCTATGGCTCTATCCCTACTCCTTGTTATCCTCATCAGGTTGTAATTACGAGACTGCCTAGCTGGTAGATTTGAACATCTGCTCTTTTGTTTAGCAACCTCACATGTAATGCCCCTGTTGTTGTGTATCATAGAGTCGGAATCGATCCATAGCTGACCCTCTGGTGGGTTTTCAGAGGCAATTAATCGCACAGGAGGAAATTGCTTATCATCCTTCTCCAGCTGCACAGTTGGTAGCCTTGAACTGCATGCCTTCAGGATTACAGCGCAGCTTTTTGCCACTAGGCCACTAGGGCTCTCTTATTAGAACTCTTCAAAGTGCCTCTCAATCACCCATCCATTGCTGGCAAGTTGATGCCAGCTCATGGCAACAACCAACCTTTGGGTTACCAAAATTGTAACCACCCATCTTTCTCCTGTGGGCCACTAGAGAATACAACACACTATGCCATGAGGGAGGGCTTCAAAATGTACAGTCAAGTCAGGACCAACCCATATATCCTCCATTGGATTTCCAAAGCTGTGAATTACACGAGAGGAGATTGCTGATCTTTTTCCTACTGAGGTGTTGGTGGATCAGAACCCCTAGAGGCCTGACCTTTTCATTAGCAGTACACCCTTCCACAGATTTGGCCATGGTAGTACCCTTCAGACACTAAAGAAACTGTGATTCAACTTCTTTTGCTTTACGCTGTATTATTCAATGCAAATAGAACCTTACTTCTTTTTGTTGTTCAGTGTGCTTCTTTTTTAAAAAAAGTTGTCAAGGCAGCCTTGAGTCATGGTGATTGCATATGTGTTCGATAGGACTCTCAGTGGCTGGCTTTCCAGATTCAGATTGATAAGTGGAGTAAATAGGCTTTCCAGCTTAACATTTCTTGTCTGCTAGCGTCTCCTATTTTTAAGTCAAGCTTTTTTTCCCCTCTTCATATACGTGGAATATCTTTGGTTGTGAAAACGTTCCTATCCATGGTCAAGAGAAAGGGAAAGCACAGCATAAACTGTATGTACTGATCACACCCCTCTCCTTTATCTTCATTGTAGCTCCTTTAGAGTTATGAGTTATGTGAAAGACATTAAGTCAGCACGGTGTATGTGTTTAATAATGCTCCAATAATGTAGGAGAGAAGGAAGACTTTAAGGGTGAAATTGGTGAGGAATAACCAATTTCTGTTTCCTTGTGATAAAGTGATAAGGACTATGCTTATATGTTGTTTCCTTAAAGGTACTAATCCTGTTCTAAAGTCCTCCAGTAGATACAGGGTTTAGAACGTAAATGATATGTTGTATTCAGCCCCAGTTTTTGCTGATGATTTTGTGGATTTTGAAACTATTTATTATTTAAAACTAGGTAGAAATCCCTTGGTAAGGCAAATGGTTTACATGCTTAGTTGCTAACTGAAAGGTTTTAGTCCACCCAGAAGTGCCCGGGGGGGGGGGGGGGGGGGGGAATAGACCCAGTGATCGAATTATTTACACAAGTTAACTCCATGGAGTCCCCTTCTACTCTGATACACATGGGTTCTACATGAGTTAGAGGAAACTCAGTGGCAACAGAATATACTGGGCGTGGTGGTGGTGGTGTGTGCCTTGTAGTTGTAAATGATTCATACCTGACCGTCTGGGGGTTTTCATAGGCAGTAAATCATATTGTCCATCCTTCTCCCATGAACAGCTGGTAGATTTGAACCAGGTGTCTTTGGATTGTAACCTTACTTCTTAACCATTAGGCCCCCAGAGCTCCCTGTATTTATTAAATACCACACAGGATTAGGTATTTAATCCTGAATGACTTGAGGCAAGATCTCTGCCTTCAAGAAGTTTTTGTCTTTTAAACTTTTGTACATATTTTTATATTTTTCTCTTTAAAAGCTGTATTTGCTAATGTTTCTAAATAACTAGGAGAACAAACAGGTTCATCCTAGAGAGGTTGAAGCCAGGCTGCTCTTTGGAAGCAAGGATTCTGAGGCTTTGTCTGATAACTTTGGACATGTTGCAAGGAGAGACCAGTCCTTGGAGAGGGACATCAGTCTTGGAAGGGTAGAGGGATGGAAAAAGAGAGGGAGACCATTGATGAGATGGATTGATACAGTGATGGGTAATGAGAGTAGATTTGTCAGAGACAGTAGTTGGCACAGGATAGAGCAGGTTTCAGGGCTCTTGTACATAGGGTTGCTACGAGTCTCAAGCGACTCAATGGCACATAACAACAGCAACAATGTATTAAAACTGAACAGGCAGATTTCAAGGAGACCACAGGAAATTCCCTTATAAGAGTTTTACTAAAAGTTTGTTTAAAGCATATTAGTGAAATTTATTTTCTTTTTTGAAATAGCTCAGATAGGAATTAAAGAATTTTTTCTGATTGTAATACCATAAGTTATTTCTTTGGTTTGGGTTTGTTGGTTGTTTTTTTTTTAAATATATATAAAATAGTACAGTTATAAGCTTTTTACTTTTAACATACCAATACATAACTGAGTTACTATTCTCTTTCATAGGGAAATCCTCATTGACAATTCAGTTCGTTGAAGGCCAATTTGTTGATTCCTACGACCCAACCATTGAAAACAGTAAGTATTGTTTTCAAGTATTTATATAAACAGTAGCTTTCCTTTTGCACATAAATACCCATTGTGTGTTCCTAATGCCTTTGGATGCAAGTATTCATTTTTGTACAATCCAAGAGCTATGAATGGTTTGAATTTTTTGTGCTATAGATGGAAGACATTAAAATTAATTTTTGTGACCTTTCATTTAACTATATAGGTGTTAACTGTTAGAACCACCCAAAAATGCTCATCACTAATAATTCCCCTTACTTTCAAAGTTGATTCTAACTCATAGAGACTGAAGACAGAGTAGAACTGTCTTAAGTTTTCCAAGGCTGGCTGAGCTTTACAGAAGCAGCCTACCACATCTTTATCTTAGAGAGTTGCTAGTAGTTTTGAACTGTCCCACTTTTGTTTAGCAGCCAAGCATATAATCACTGTCATTGAGTCCATTTAGAGAAATGGCATCCCTGTAAGATTCAAGTCATTTCTGACTCATGATGACCCTCAATCATATTTCCAAAGCTGTAAATCTTTATGGGAAGAGACTGTCCAACTTTGTCCACAGATCCCTTGATGCATTCACACAGCTGACCTCTAAGTTAATAATCTGACAAATAACACACGAGTATGACTGTGGTTCTCCAGAGACAAATTCAGAATGTGTCCTTCTGTGCAGCTGGCAGGAATTAACTATTCTTCCAGTTTCACCCACAGGACATTATTTTAGAGTGCTGTTTATTCACAAATGAATAAATTGAACTGTTAAAAATGTTCCCCTACAGTGGAGTTGATTTAGACTCATAGTGACCTTCCATTGGGTTTCCGAGCCTCTAAGTCTATTTGGAAAGAGGTCTGTCTTCTGTAAGGCAACTGGTGGACTCAAACCACTAACCTGTAGAGTGGCAGCTAAACAGTGCACGTGCAATCAGAGTGCCTTGTTGGCTTAGTGCACAATATAGCAGGCTAATTAATAACTGATAGGTCAGTGGTTTGAATGTATCAGCCACTCAGTGAGAGAAAGTGGACAGTCTCCAGTGAGTTATGGGGTTTTGGTTAAAAATTTTCAACTGGATAAAATGGTGTAGTGGTACGGAATTGTGATGCTAACACAAAAAGTATACAGTTTGAATCCATCTGCTTTATGGGAGAAGATGGGTAATCTCCTCTGATATAAATTATTGCCTCTGAAAATCCACTGGAGGGTCATCTGTGCATCAGTTACTCGAAAGTACACAACAGCAGCTACTCATGAGTCAGTCAAATATATTACAGTAAATATTTTGTGTGTATGCTTAATAGGTCAAGAGAAATTCCTGTATATAAATTTTTAATGTATTTGCAGTGTATTGCTGTTGTCTCGTGTCCATGTGAAACCAACAAGTTGTAAGATATTTAAATTATTAAAATACTCTAGCCTAAATTTAAAATAACATCTGAAAGGGTTTTTTTGTAGTTTTCAAAAGGAATTATAGTTATTTGTCCATTAAAGTTTTTAAGCAAGAGCAGAAATTAATATTAGACTCTAAGTGTTCTTTAAAACATTGTGATATATATTCAGACAATCCGCTTCTATTTACTCTGCTCCTGACAGGGAGAAGCCCTGGTGACTCACTCTTCCTCTCCATTCTCCCGTAATTCAGGAGTAAAACAGTGCTCAGCTGTAACAGGGATGTGAAAACAAAAGTTCTGGGACTGAATCTTTAGCCCTAGCAGTATTAGCAAATAGTATCACTAAAAAAATAGTTTTCTAGTTTGGAGATCTTTTTTAGGTCAGAAATACATTTTGTGAAAGTAGGCCTACTACTGTAGTGTTAAAAATTTGATACAAATTAATTAATATGATTAACTTAAACTAATGGTTGGTTGTCTTTTTAAGGCAAGAATAAATCTAAAAACTCATTGCCTCCAAGTCTGTTCTGTTTTGGGTTTCCCAGGCTGTAAAACCCACCAGAGGAGACAGCCTATATTTTATTCCTCAGAGCAGCTGATGGATTTGAACCTTTGGGTTAACAGCACAAAACATCTGTTTTATGAAAGTAATACTGTGGATGATTGATAAAGCCACTCATAAAATTAGTAAGTTATCATTTTATAAATAAATAATATTGAATAAGGAAGACCAGAGAATTGCTTTCTTTAAAATTGTGATATCAGTGAAGAGTGTTGAAAATGTGCCCATGAAAAAGACAAGCAGTATACCCATGAACTGCCACACTACTAACAAAGTTGTCTTGGAGGAAATGGAGGGTACTTCCTTGAGGGAATTCCTGATAAGATGGTAGATTAGACCGAAGGCAGCTCTCTGTCCTCTTCCCTGAAGACATCAAAAAACAAAGATAACAGATCCCCTTCCTCCCCTTCCATCTAGCACAGTTTGCTACTGATTAGGACACCTGAGCTCTCCTAAGATAATAAATACAGATAATAATCCTGAAATCCTATGTTTAAAAAGAGATAATAAGTACAGATAATAATCCTGGAATCCTATGTTTAAAAAGAAAAGACAGGGATGTACTTCAAACATGGAATGAAGGGAAGAATAGAATAAAAGAGCATTGGACAGTGTAACTCTGCCATTTTAAACAGCTGTCCAGATGACATGGGACCTGATATTGTGCCAGTATCCATACTAGCAGCTGATGACAGGAAAGGTGCATTCTTCCCACTTGTGATCTGTGCCCTCCCACGGTTTGGGTTAGTATCTTTCTTGTGCTACCACAAACAAGTGGCTGCTCGTAATCCTTGTCCCAGCCAGGCTCCACCAAAGGCCAGACCCGTACTATATTGATCTGGCGCCAGAAGCATGCCCAATACTATACTCATAGTCTCTCTCAGGAGCCAGTGGACTGTGCCATGGTTGGCCTGCAGTGGGGCACCACCTCTGACTGGAGTCATCACTTTTCACCAGAGACCCTTTACCAACATAAATCACAGCTATAATTGGAGCAGTGCACCATCCCTTGCAGTGACAGTCTCTTCATGCTAACCGTATCTGAGTAGGGACCCAGCCTGCACCCAACTCCTGGACAAAGACATGATCCCCAGACAGGCAGATTATCCAAGGCTGCTTTGAGACCAGCAGAAATATTGCCACAGTAGGGATGCCCCAACATCTGAAAGACATGAAATGTTCCTACTTATAGCTTGGTTTACATTTTTGGGCCTCATCTTTTCTCAGTGGAGCAGAAACTCTGGCCTAACTGGCATCCCAGTTCTAACCTTCTCAGCTGACAGACCTTGTGCCATGCCAGGCCTCTTGTGTCCACCCACAAGAGCAATGATAAGAGCACTAATCAGGTCTTTAGTCCATCTGCCTCTATAGCTTTTAATTTCTATTGCTTTTTGGATTTTCTTGTTTGTTTTTCTTTAAAAAAAAAAGAGAGAAAGAGAAAACTTTTATTTAAGAGATTAGAAAGCTATATATCTCCTGCCCCCAAATAATGTGGAGAACATCACTCATTTACTCATTCCAGGAATGTGGTCGAACAATTTCAGCGAATACAATATTGTTTGATACCAATGTGTGCTATAAGCACAGGAGTCCATTTCAGTTACTTTCCCTCCTTTTTTTAACCTTCCAGACCACTTTTTAGTTCTGATGGGAAAGGAATCTGGAGGTGGGATTTTTGTGTTTTGTTTTACACTTCTTCCCACTTCACCCCACTGGCATTTTCCACTCTTCATCTCCCTGGCTTTTTCCTTTTCTTTTGCACATTTTCTCGCTCTTCATTCTTACCTTTCCATTCTGATTTCTATTCATTTTGTGCCACTCTCAGTTTTTCTGGGTCCCCCCCATTTTCTTTTAGTGTTCAATCTTGTTTTGGTGTTTCCCCCCCTTTTTATTTGTCCTGACAACAGATAGCAGCAGTTTTCTGCCATACATAGCACCTCCTGCAGCTTCACCTGCAGAGCAAAATGAAAAACTACCTCTTGCTCCAGCTAATCTATGAGAGACCAACACCAGCCCAGTCTGCCTTCAATTGCTCTACACAGAAAACTGCACATAGATTACCATCCTCTATTACACCCATGAGGAGATGGAGGTGGCATTGGGGGGATGATGAGACATTAAGAATTACCCAGCTAGCAAGTAACTCAGTCTGCTCACATAGCTCAGTCAGATATATCAGAACAAAACAGTACAAAGACAGCACCGCCACGATGTTTCAGAAGCAAAGATAACTCTAAACCCCTCTGAAACCTAGCACAAGGTAGAACAAAAATGTGACCAAAATAGAGAAGAAAAAAATAAATCTTTGCAAGAAAGAAAGGTATTGGAGCTTTCTGATAAGGAATTTAAAAGTGATAGTTAAGTATCTTACCTAGATTGAGAAAAGCAGAAAACACAGGAGGACAAATTTCTTAACACTAATCTGTCAGGGTGCTCCTTGGTGGCAAGGATCATGGGATTTTGTCTCACATACTTTGTGCATATGTCAGGAGTCCTTAGAAAAACATGTCATGCTTGGAAAGGTAGAGGATCAGTGAAATAAAGGATGATCCTCAGTAAAATGGTTTGATAGAGTGATGGCAGCAGTGGACTTTAAAGAGGTGGAGATAATGAGGATGACACAGCATAGGGCAGAGTTTCAGTCTGTTGTTCATAGGGTCGCTGTGAGCCACAGTCTGCTCAATGGCACCTAATAGCAACAACTCGAAGTTTTTTCATCGTTACCAAACTTTGCATTGTGAATAAACTTCTCAGAATGTCATTGTTTTAGATAGGAATAGTTCAAAGAAAAAGATATTAAGATAAAGTCCACTTTCTAATTTTATACAAAAAAGGAAAGCAGAGGACATAGCAGAAGCTGTTCTTGGTCTGTGTTGATATTGTTACTGTGTGCCATCAAGTTAGAATCAACCCAGAGCTGATTCTACTCTCGGGTTTCAGAGGCTATAAATCACATGGGAGGAGATTGCATATTCTCCTGCAGAGCAGCTGGTGGATTCGAATCCTTTGGGATTGCACCACAGGTTCTCTTACCTCCAGGCCACCATATAGCAGAGGATATTGTTCTCTTTCTTCAGTGCAAAAGTAGACTAAACTACCTATTAATTAATTAATTTATTTATTTATTTTTTCCCCTCTCTTGGATCCTTTGTATACTTGCTTTTTGGAGTTTTTTTCTCATTGGCTACTTCAGGTCATCTTTATTGAATTCTTTTCTTTTATTCTGGACTATGAGTGTAGCCTGGATACACTAAGACTGCAACTTAAACTCAGACTTCATCAGTTTATTAATGACTTAAATATGTACCCCTGGCTCTAGTACCTTCTCTGAATTTTGCTTTTTTATTGACTACCTGTATCTCACACATTAAGTGTTTAATAGGTGTCTCAAATTTGGCATATCTAATATCCAACACTTAATTCTTTTCCTCTCTCATCTGTGGGAGCTCTGGTGATGTAATCTGTAAGGAGTTGTGCTTCTAACCAGAGATGGTGCCTGTTTGGCAGCCCGAATCTCTGCAGTTGCTCTGCAGGAGAAAGATGGGCCATCTCTTCTCGTGTAATTTATAGCCTCAGAAAAATGAGTCCGCTTTGACTTGACAGCAGTGAGTTTTACATCCACACTGCCTTTTGGGTAATCTTTTCTGTATTGATACCAACTCTGTTTATCTAGTTGCTTAGGCCAAGAACTTGGAGGTCATCTTGACTCCGCCTTCCTTCTCTCTCTCTGGAGGTCGTCTTGACTCCTTTCTCCTCTCAAACTTTACTTCCTTGTATTCAGTCTCAAGATCTTTCTGGCACTGCTGTAGAAATGCTTTCGGAGTTTTACCATCCCTTTTCTCTCTATCTCTGCCCTTAAGGTCTAGGCCACTGTCATGTCCTAGATTATGATAGTCTTATTGTTAGTTGCCATTGAGTCAGCTCCAGTCCAGCTCAAGGAGACAAACGGGCCCTGATGCATCTTCATGATTTTTGGTACATTTGAGTCCATTTTTATAGCTATGTGTCAAGCAATTGTTAAGAAGTCAGTTGTTGTTATTGTTGTTATGTGCCATCGAGTTGCCCTAAACTCTGTTCTGTCCTGTGCCAATCTCATTGTCTCCGACACACTCATGATTACCCCAGTCACCAAATCAATCCACCTCCTCGATGGCCTTCCCCTCCTGCACCTGCCCTCCACCCTCCCAAGCATGATGCCCTTCTCCAAGGACTGGTCTCTCCTTACAACATGACCAAAGTATGTCAGATGAAGCCTCAGAATCCTTGCCTCCAAGGAGCAGCCCAGTTTAACCCTCTTTAGGATGAATCTGTTTGTTTTCTTAGCAGTCCAGGGTACCTTCAGTACTCTTCTCCAACACCAAAGCTCAAAAGCATCAATTCTCCTTCTATCCTCCCTAGTCATTGTCCAACTCTCTGACACATAACAAGTGATTGCAAAGACCATGGCCTGTATCAGATGCACCCTAGTCTCCAGAGAGACACCGTTGCTCTTGAGTACTTTAGAGAGGTCCCTAACAGCAGACTTTACCACCTCAGTAAGTCTTTTAATTTCCTGGCTGCTGGTGCCAAGACTATGGAGCCAAGCAAACTAAAGCTGTGAACAGTCTCAATCTCTTCACCATCCATCCTGATGCTTCCAATTGGTCCAGTGGTGAGAATCTTTGTCTTCTTGACATTGAGCCTCAATCCATATTGAAGGCTGCAGTCCTTGACCCGCCAAAGCAAGCGCTTCAGGTCCTCCTCAGTTTCAGCAAGCAGGGTTGTGTCAACTGCATAACACAGATTGTTGATAGATCTTCCACCAATCTTGACCCCACATTTCTTCTCATAGAGCCCAGCCTCCTGGATGATCTGTTCTGCATACAGGTGAAAAGGTATGGAGATAGGACACATCCCTGGCGTATGCCCTTCCCAATTTTGAACCATGCAGTGTTTCTTTGCTCTGTTCTGACGACTGCCTCTTGGTTCAAGTATAGGTTTCGCATTAGCACAATCAAGTGTTCCGGGATTCCTATTCTTCTCAGAGTCAGCCACAGTTATGGTCCACACAGTCAAATGCCTTTGCATAATCAATGAAACACAGGTAGACATTTCTCTGGTTCTCCATGCTTTCAGCCAAGATCCATCTAACATCAGCTACAATATCCCTAGTACCACAACCCCTTCTAAACCCAGCCTGGACTTCTGGCAGTTCTCTGCTGATGTGTTGTTCCAGTTGGTTTTGGATAATCTTCAGTAGAATCTTGCTTGCATGTGAAATCAACAATATTGTTCTATAGTTTCCACACTCTGTTGGGTCACCTTTCTTTGGAATGGGAACAAATACAGATCTCTTCCAGTCAGTTGACCAAGTGGTTGTTCTCCAGATTTCTTGACACAACTTGGTGAGCACGTCAGGGCAGCATCTGTTAGCTGAAATATGTCAGTTGGTATAAATCTACTACAGAATACCCTTTTCACAATTTAAAAAGTAAAGATGCTGCTTTAGTGATTCAAGCTATGGCATTTTTCCACCGTGCCTCCATAGGCACATGAAAGCTTGCCCCTAAGGAAGGAAAATGGAAGAATTCATACATTTAAACTATAGCATTGACAAAGAAGATATGTAGACTACCAAAAGAATGACCAAATCCTCTCTAGAAGAAATCAAACCAAAATGTTCTTGGAAGTGAGGATGGCAAGAATTCTATTTACTCTGAACACATTGTCAAGACCAATTGCTATATAAGGATGTTATGGGTTATAGAAGTTGAGGAGAATCCTCAATGAGGTGCATTAACAAAATAGTTAAGCAATATTAATGAATATAGTCACTGTTTTGTGGGCTCCTACCTAATCTTTCTGTGTCAATTTTTTTTCCCTTTTCTGTTAGTCACAGAATAGCTAGAGAGATCAGAAAATATGAATCAGATCAGATTATTGCCTTATCTAAGTCTTTGGTTTACTTACTCCTTATATTCAGAATGAAAATTTAAAGTCTTTGTCTTTGTTTTCTAAAGCAAAATGGATGGGTTGGCCTCCTGCCTCTTCATATCTTAATTTTCTACCTACATTTTTTATTAACATACTGCTAGTATATCGCAGGCTGCTAACTGTAAGGTTGGGCAGTGTGAATCCAGTAGATCTCCCGAGGACAAAGACGAACAATCTTCTCCTGTAAAGATTTGTGCTAGCATGTGTGTTTGTGAAAGCTCGCTAGGGCCAGGGATTATAGTATTCCAAGCATTTACTGATGATGATAATAGACATTAAAGAAGTATTCCTCCTGGAATTAATTCTTTAATTGTAATAACCTTTTCATAATACTTACATTATGCCTCATAACCACTGTTATTTAGCTCTAGTTGAAGTTTGCTGGGTTTATTGCTCACCATTGTTTCCTTCCATGAAATCCAAAATATACTTTTTTGCTCTTCTACAGTGACCACCGCTGGGCCAGTAGTGATTGAAAGTGCCATCCTTTGCAGGATGCAGTCATCTTCATTGATATCTTGACACTACACAGTAGGCTACATTGAGTATATTCTATGTTGGGATACTTCCTCTGATTCTGTTTTCATCTGATTTATTTCCTTAAATTGTTATTTTCCTAAAAGGGAGTAAAAATGATTAGAAATGTGGTCCTGAACACAATTCTGAGGTCACCTTTTGCTTAAGTAGGCTGTTCTATAATCATCACTCAGCTAACTTCTAGCCTTGCTTGAATTACAAAAGTATGATGCTAATAGGATTGCCTTTGATTATTACTTCTCTTTCAACCATCCTTTCTCTCCCTGTGGAACAAACATAATTTAAATGAGATCTGTCTCCTTTGTCTTTTAGCAGAATTACCATCTCTCTCTTTTGGTGTTGCCTTTACCTGTGAGACATAGTGGATGGAAGCAGGTTATGTGTAAATGGATATGCTGCTGCCAGGCTGTCATAAGTTGAATGGGCAGCCAGGAGGGTTGGAAGACTCTTCCATGAGGGTGATGGCTGCCACAGGGTACACAGAAGCAGTATGTTCTCTTTAAGCTGTCAAGTCTCCAGATGGTTACTTTTTAATAGTCTGTTGCTGTTAATAGTGCTCCACTCCTATGTCTGCATTTGAAATCTGTCCTCTTAGAATTCTAAATTGACATTTCCAGAAGTTATTTTGAGTCTTTTTTTCTCTTTGATTGAAGAAAGAAGTTGTGACAAATGCTAGGATTTGTAAGGTGTGTGGGCATAATGGCTTTAATGTGAAACAGCTCTTCTTTAACATACATGTTTCATTAACTTTGTTAATTTTTTTATGTATACTGAAAGTTCTTAGTGTTGTAGTTAGTAATGTAAGTTCTTTGTGCTTGAACACCAGATCTTTTATAAAACACTAAATGGGAAGTTTTGTGCTTTTGATTCATCCAAGGTCTTTTAAAACTTAGGTTTCTGTTTTGTTCCAACAAGGCACAGATACCTCATTCAGATTACTTTTCTAGGATATTAGTTATTTCCTAATTTTAGTGTCTTAAAAAAAGATTAAGATTGTTTGCTTACAATTAGTAGGCTAGAGTGTTTGCTAACATTGGAGAGAGGGGGAATCTCTACAACTCTGAGGTTTATACTTTTTGTTTTGGGGGCCTATTTGTAAGATTATTAACGCCTCTGTTTAGTTTACTATCTTTGTCCAAGCTAACAAATCTAGGCTTTTATGATTTAACTAATACTGAATTTCCTTTTCTTTTGTAGCTTTTACAAAATTGATCACAGTAAATGGACAAGAATATCACCTTCAACTTGTAGACACAGCTGGACAAGTAAGTGATGGATATTATCTCCAATTCAAGCCACCTGGTAATCCTGACACTCATCTGGTGCTGGTAGTTAAATGTCACAGCCTTGATAAAACCCTTATGCTCATGTGTAATTGGATCTTAAGGTGCTGTCTGCTTTGCATTTTCTGAGAATTTGTGGCATTTTTATAAGTTTTGTTTTTCTCTTTGTTTAGAGGATTTAAAAATAACATTCTGAGAGTTCATTACAGAAAAATGGTTATTGTACTTTATACACTGTAGCTTTAATATTAGAAAATCCCCTTTACTACCTGACCTCTTCTGTGCTGTGTAGCTGATTGGGTTTTGCATGCTTCTTGAATGTGATTGCCATTTCCTCTATTTCCACACTTTCTTTTAGGGAAAAGATAATTTGAGACTTACTTGGACATATTCTAGCTGTACTGCTGCTGATAATCATATATTTGTTTTAAAAAAGCAATACTAAAATGAACTCCACTTAATGAAAGTCGTACTAATAATAAAGGCAAAGAGAGTTTTGCATATGTAGGCTCTATAATGTAGAAATGTTTTCTGCTTGACTATTGTTTAGGATATCAAAGAATTGATGATGATGTTGGTTATGTGCCATCCAGTAGGTTCTGATTGATAGTAAACCTGTACACAGCAGAGAAAACGCTACTGGTCCTGCACCATTCTCACAGTCACTGTTATGTTTAAGCCCATTGTTGTGGTCACTCTGCCAGTCTATCTCAGTGAAAGTCTTCCTCCTCTTTACTGACCCTCTGCTTACTGAGCATGATGTCTTAGAGACTAGAGCCTAGTAATAACGTGTTCAAAGAATGTAAGACAGAAGTTTCACCAACCTCAATTTAGAGGAACACGTGGCTGACCATCTTAAAAGACAGGTATTTTTTCTTGCAATCCATTGTATATTCAGTATTGTTCAGCAACATCGTAACATCAGTTCTTTTTCACTCTTCTTTATTCATTGTCCAGCTTTCACATGTTTGTGAACCAAATGCTTTTTTTCCCATTGGCAATACCTTGGCTGAGTTCAGGTGCATTTCACTCTTCATTATGATGTTTTTGCTTTTAAACACTTTTAAGAGATCTCTTTGAGCAGGTTGGCCCAATGCAGTGTGCTCTTTGATTTTTTTACTCTTTCCTGCCATGGATACTGATTGTGGATCCAAGTAAAATGAAATCCTTAGTAACTTTAATGTTTTCTCCATTTTTCATGATGTTGCTTATTGGTCCAGTTGTGAAAATTTATGTTTTATGTATATAAGAGAGGTCATCCATACTAAAGGCTGTATGTAGTGGTTGCGTTTCATTAATTAGTGCTTCAAGTCCTCTTTGCTTTCATCAAGCAAAGTTTTATCATCTGCAGATCACAGGCTAGTAATGAGTTTTCCTCTAATGCTAGTGCTACATTCTTCTTCCTGTCATTCAGCTTCTTGGACTATTTGATCAGTATACAGGTTGGTATTCACGGGACTTCCTTGTATGCGTATGGATATTATCCTATCACTCACAACATTGTATTTCAAGATAGATCTAGAAATTACTTTTTTTACTATGAAAGCAACCCCATTTTCCCTCACCTTTTCGTCTCCAGCATAGTAGATCATATGATCCCATGCCAGTTCATCTCATTTCACCAATACCAGTATGTCAATATTTATGCGTTCCATTTCCTTCTTAACAATATCCAGTTTTTCTACTTTCATGGTACTTATATTCCATGTTCCAAACTAGTGTCTGCCTATAGCTCTTCCTCCATTTGTTCCCATACTTGGGGGCTCAGCCTCAATTGTTGTATCCGTTGGTCTAAGTGTGCTCTGCTGTACACAGGGTTTTCAAAGGCCTGCTGTTTAGGAAGTCGATGGCCAGTCTTTCTTCCTAGTCTCTTAATTAGATTGCTCAGATTTAGAACATTATCTGACAAACCAGAATTTTACTGAGAAGGTTAAAGATATTTCTCAGTAGTAGGAAAAACCCAGTAGATTCTGTGTTGTCCCCACCCTTGCCAAGTGTGTTTTCAGCAACCCCTTGCCCTGCTCCACCAGAACTTAACATCTCCTCCCACCTGCTCCATTCAACAACAATCTCCCCTATCCAGCCCTTGATATGATGGCCTATATGTCAATCTTTCTGGCTTCTGTAATCCCTAATGCCTCAAGCTGCTGCTAGTTTCTAAGAGCAGTATCTCTTGAGTTTAGGAGTTTTGAACTTCAGCTCCAGGATTGACTTTTTGTACCTTAGGGAATCTTCTCCTTCATTTATGCTACAGGAATTTTCCAGGGGAGGCTGATAAATCCTATAGTTTGGGTATATAATGTTATCTTCCAGTTGTCCCAAGAAATCTGGAGGACAGCCATCTGGCCTACTGACTGGAAGAGAACTATATTTGTTCATATTCCAAAAAATGGTGATCTAACAGAATGTGGAAATTATTGAACAATATTATTGATGTCACATGTAAGCAAGATTCTGCTGATCATTCAAAAATGATTGGAACAGTACATCAACAAAGAACTGCCTGACGAGCAGACTGGATTTAGAAGAGGCCATAGCACTAGCGATATTATAGTTAATGTCAGATGGATCTTGGCTGAAAGCAGAGAGTACCAGAGGAATGTTTATCTGTGTTTCGTTGACTATGCAAAGGCATTTGACTGTGTGGATCATAACAAGCTATGGCCGACTCTGAGAAGAATGGGAATCCCAGAATATTTGATTGTGTTTATATGAAACTTATACTTGGACCATGGGGCATTCATCAGAACAAAGCAAAGAAACACTGCATGTTTCAAAATTGGAAAGGGTATGCGTCAAGGATGTGTCCTATCTCTGTATCTTTTCAATCTGTATGCGGAACAAATTATCCAGGAGGCTGGGCTCTATGAGGAGAAGTGTGGCATCAGGATTGGAGGTATACTCATCAACAGTCTGCATTGTGCAGATGATGCAACCCTTCTTGCTGAAACTGAGGAGGACCTGAAGAGCTTGCTACAGAAGGTCAAGAATTGCAGTCTTCAATATAGATTGAAGCTCAACATCAAGAAAACAAAGATTCTCACCACTAGGCCAATTGGCAACATCATGATGGATGATGAAGAGATTGAGATTGTTAACAGCTTCCGTTTGCTTGGCTCTACAGTCAACACTCTTGGTACCAGCAGACAGGAAATTAAAAGAAGAATTGCATTGGGAAAGCCTTCTGTTAGAGACCTCGCCAAGGTACCAAGGAGTACGACGTCAGTTTGGAGACCAAGGTGTGCCCGACACCAGCCATGGTCTTTGCTATTACTTGCTATGCATCAGTGAGGTGGACAATGACTAGGGATGATAGAAGGAAAGTTGATGCTTTTGAGCTTTGGTGCTGGAGAAGAGTATTGAATGGACTGCTAGGAAAACAAACAAGTTTGTCCTAGAGAGGGTGAAGCCAGGCTGCTCTTTGGAGGCAAGGATTCTGAAGCTCCATCTGACATACTTTGGACATGTTACAAGGTGAGATCGGTCCTTGGAGAGGAACATTATACTTGGGAGGGTGGAGGGACAGTGCAGGAGAGGAAAACCCTCAATGAGATGGATTGATTCTGTCACTGGGGTAATGGGTTAGGTGTGTCAGAGACAGTAAGCTTGGCAAGAGATAGAGGCAGGGTTTACGGCAACTCAACAGCACATAACAACAACAGCAACATACAGGTTGAATAAGTATGGTGAAAAATGCAGCCCAGACACATACATTTCCTCACTATAAATCACAGAGAATTACCTGTGAACACCTGCCTTTTGGCTGTACGCAGATTCCACATGAACACAAATAAGTGTTCTAGAACTCCCATCCCCTGCAACAATAACTTGTTGTGAACCACATAATCAAAAGCCTTTACATCATCAGTGAACACAAGTAGACATTTTTCAGGAGTCTCTCCTTTCAGCCAAGATCTATCAGCAGTTATAGTCTTCATTTATTTCTCCTCCTGAAACCATGCAGCTTGAATATCTGACTGTTCACTGTAGTGTACATACAGAAAATGATAAGGTAATTTTAATTATTTTAAAAATAAAATAAAAATTTATTTATTCATGTTATTATATTGTTAGATAGCTTTTATGTAGTGTTGGTTCATTTTTTTTCTTTCTTTCTTTTAAAGAGCCTACAAATATGAATCTCTTCTGGTTGGCCAAGTAGCATCTTACAGATTTTTTAGAATTGTTGTTGTTGTTATGTGCCTTCGAGTCACTTGCTACTCATAGCGACCCTGTGTAGGACAGCCCTAAACCCTGCTCTATCCTGTGCCAACCTTATTGTCCCTGACACACCTACCCCCATGACCCCATTCATTGAGTCAATCCATCTCATCAAGGGTCTTCCTCTCTTGAACTGTGCCTCTACCCTCCCAGACATGATGTCCCTCTTCAAGGACTGGTCACTCCTTGCAAAATGCCCATTGTATGTCAGATGTAGCTTCAGAATCTTTGCCTCCAAGGAGCAGCCGGTTTCACCCTCTCTTGGACGAACTTGTTTGTTATCCTGGCAGTGCATGGTATATTCTATACTCTTTTCCAGCACCACAGCTCAAAGACATCAATTTTGCTATCATCCCTAGTTAGTGTCCATCTTTCTGATGCATAGAAAGTAATTGCAAAGACTATGGCCTGGATCAGACACACCTTGGTCTCCAGACTGACAACACTGCTTCTCTGGAGAAGTCCCTGATAGCAGACTTTCTCAATGCAATTCATCTCTTAATTTCCTAGCTGCTGGTACCAAGAGTGTTGATAGTGGAGCCAAGCAAACTGAAGCTGTTAACAATCTCAATCTCTTCACCAAATATCATGATGCTACCAATTGGCCCAGTGGTGAGAATCTTTGTCTCCCTGATGTTGAGCTTCAGTCCATATTGAAGGTTGCAGTCCTTGACCTTCTGCAGCAAGCTTTTTGAGCAAGCAAGGTTGTGTCCTCTGCATAATGCAGCTTGTTGTTGAGTCTTCCTCCAGTCCTGATGCCACATTCCTCTTGGTAGAGCCCAGCCTCCCATTCTGTATATAGATTGAAAAGGTGTGGAGATAGGACACTTTCTTCTTACACCCTTCCCAATTTTGAACCATGCAGTGTTTCCTTGCTTTGTTCTGATGGCTACCTTCTGGTGCACTATAAGTTTCACATAACCACAATCAAATGCTCTGGGATTCTCATTCTTTTAAGAGTTAGCCACAGTTTGTTGTGATCCACATAGTCAAATATCTTTGCATAGTCAGTGAAACACAGACATTCTTCTGGTACTCTCTGCTTTCAGGCAAGATCCATCTGACATTAGCTATTATATCTCTAGTACCATGACCTCTTCTAAACCCAGCCTGCACTTCAGGCAGTTCTCTGTTGATGTGCTGTTCCAGTCGTTTTTTGATAACTTTCAGTAGAATCTTGCTGGCATGTGATATTATTGATATTGTTCAATAATTTCTGCACTCTGTTCGGTCACCTTTCTTTGAAATGGGAGCAAATACAGATCTCTTCCAGTCGGGTGGCCCTCCAGATTTGTTGGCACAACTTAGCGCACATCTAGGGCAGCATCTGTTTGTTGAAATATGCCAATTGGTGTTTCATCATTCCTGGGGCCTTGTTTTTTGCCAGTGCTTTCAGAGCAGTGGCTTGAACTTCTTCCTTCATCACCACAGGCTTTTGTTTTTAATATTGTTTCATGAAATTCTTCTGTGTCAGCAAAGTTCTTTTGGTACAGTGATTCTTTGTACTCTTTCCATCTTCTTTTAATGCTTCCTGGATCATTTAATACTCTGCATCCTTAAGTATTACAACTTGAGGCTTAAATTTGTTCTTCAGTTCCATCAGCTGAAGAAATGCTAACATAGTTCAGCTTTTTGATTTTCTGACTCCAGCGACTTTCTTGGCATGTTGTTGTTGTTAAATGTCGTTGAGTCGTTGAGGACTCATAGTGACCCTTTGAATAAAAGACCTGAACATTTGTATGACTTTTGTCATTTCTCCATGTTCATAGAGTTTCTGGAGGCAAGCCATTTTGGAAGTGGATGCCACTCCTGCTTCCAAGCTTGTTTTAATCCATTATCAACTGCAAGTTACCTCTGTACAGCAACTGGACAGACCAGTGTTATACCACTTAGAAGAATGTTTGACGAAACAATTAGAACCAGGCCTGAGGGCCACAGATTAAAATCACCCACTGTTGGATTGGTAACATTACTATCCACCATGCCAACAGAGCTCTCTCTATGTTGTTGTTATTGTTAAGTGCCGTCGAGTTGTAGACGACTCATAGCAACCCTGTGAACATAGAAAATGGACTGTCTATAGTAGCACTATAACCATTTGTTAAAACATTTCAGTTGATACACTCTCAGTTCCTGGAATCATGTTCTTCACTACTTAAATTATAGTAATTAAAAATCTCTATGTTGTTGTATACCATAGAGTTGGAATCAACCCATAGCTGACCCTCTGGCAGGTTTCAGAGGTAGTTTATCACACAGGAGGAGATTGCTTATCCTCCCGCGAAGCAGTAGGTGTGCTCAAACCACATGCCTTCAGGTTTGCAGCACAGCTTCCCTGCCAGTAGGCCACTAGAGGACCTTAAAATGTTTATGTATGGTATATATAAATTACTATACTATAGAATTCGTGTAGTTATAGTACAGTATCTCCTCCTGTGCAGGAAAACCCACTATACTGTACTATAAGGGAGCTCTGGTGGCTTAGTGGTTAAGAAACTGCACAGCAGTCCCAAAGGCATTTAGTGAGAATCCGTTGTCTCCTCCTGTGTGATTTACTGCCTCTGAAAACACCCTGGAGGGCCAGCTATGGGTCAGTTCCAATTCGACAGCACTTGACAAGTAATATGCTTTTTCCCCCCTTCCTTTTTCCTTAATTAGGAACTACAAACTGCTTTTTTTTTTTACTTTGGTCAGAGGATATATAAAAATAATTAACTATTTGGGTAAAGATTGTTTATTAAGCTATAGTTTATAAATAATTTTTTTTCTTCCACAGGATGAATATTCCATCTTTCCTCAGACATACTCTATAGATATTAATGGTTATATTCTTGTGTACTCTGTTACATCAATCAAAAGGTAATAATCACTCTTCATGTTTGCTTAAATTTTTATTTGCTACACATATAAAGCATTAATTCGTTCCAAGGATTGTGCTGTCAGTGGTACTAACAGTTATGCTCAACTATTAGGTAACTTTCTGGTAGTTGTCTTGTAGAACAAATACGTTATGAAAATGATTGGTGTTCAATATCAATATGGTACAATAAAAATTGGCCTCAACTTTTCTAATTAAAATGGTAAATGTATAAATTGACCTCAGTTTTTGTGTTTTTACCATATAATTTGGACTGAATTCAGTTGAATTTATGAAATAAGATATTGAATAATAAACAGCCCCAAATTACCACATAAAAATGGAGTGACTGTTTTTGTTGATATTGATGGATTTTGGTTCTTGTAGCCATACCTTTCCCCCCCATACTGTTCTCCAGGGTATAGCATATGTTGCATCAAAGAGGAGTGAGGGTGTAGTGATGACAGAGACTGAATAAAGCTGTCATGTGTAATAATCAGAGCTTTGGCACTGACTTCTTTTGAGGAATATGTGAAAACCAGTGCTAGTGTGGGAGGGAAGTTTTATGAATATCTATTTCCTTTTGGGTGCAGGAAGTTTATCATGCCCTTGACTTTTTATTTAATCATTAACTTGACTAGTCCTTTGCCAAAGATAATCTTATTTCCCACTTTATATACTGGGGAATTAAGTGACAAGAGGCAATCAGTAATTTCCCAGTCAGTTAGTGACAGTGCTGACATTTATTTATGTTCCAGCCTTTGATGCTCCAATCTAAGCTAGTGTTGCCAGTAGAATTTACTGCAGTGATGGACATATATACTGTATCTCATTGTTACATATTGTAACCACTAGCTTTGTTGTTACTGATATGTCATTTTTAAACTGGTTTCTGTTAAATAAGCTTTAAAAATGTGTGTCATTGATGACATGGTTCATATTTCAGGTGTTTAATATCCAGTGTGACTAGTGGGCATTGTACATCTTGGCTTTTTATTGCACATTCTACTACAAATGAAAATTGCTTCTCTTCACTCTCAGTGGTTTCTTTAATACACATCTCCAGGACAGGGAAACTTCCTTGCTGGTTTTAAAGTCCTAACTATAAAATATTTCTTGTCATTATTTTAAATAAACTCTATACTGTCAGTCTCTGAGAATGTTTACAGCTACAAATATAAACAGAAAAGGGAAGAATTGCAAATTAGTATTTATTTACAGTCTCATTTTTATTTTGCATGGGTTATTTTAACATATTTCAGAGTGCTGTTTTTTAGTTTTACTTACTATCTTGATTAGATTTTTTTTATGACCTGTTCTTTGAAAACAGTAAGTTGGATGTTGAATATTCCATATCCAGCCATACAAAGATGTCTATCTGTGTGTTTCTATTTTTTCACTAAAAATAATGCTTGCATTTTATACATACAACTGCTGCTTGTTTATTATTTTTTTCTTCACATTTTTTAAAAATTTTATTTATTTTAATGAATGTTAACAGAGATTTTGGATTTTCATTCATTCATTGTTGACTTTTTCCCTGTATACCGCTCCCCTCTGCTTTTTTATTATTTTGAGACTTAGTAATTTTAATGACAAAGAGTACTTTATAAAAACTATTTTTGTCATATTGTTATAAATATTTTCTTACTTTTGGTTACATGTTTTTAAACTTTGTTTACATAGATATAATTAATATTTAACCTTTACTTGCAAACTAAGTTCTAAGATTTTCCATTTAAACTCCTGTTATGTAATGCTTTGTTTAGAACAAATTTAATATACTAGTCTCCTGGTGGATACTATAATATCAAATGAGTTTTATGAATTTGTTATTTCCCAAATTTATTTGCATAAACGAGCCTTTTCTAAGTTGGTTTTGTTTTTAAAGTATATTTTGTATGCTTTTTAGAAAAAATAATAGTTACTTTATAAATGGTTACTCTAAGGAATTACAGTGGTAAAGTACTTTTTGGTGTATTTTTTAATTTGCTTCTTGCCTTTTATTGACGTACTCTGTTCTATTATAACCTAAAGAAAATGAGCAACATTAAGCATGCTAGAATTTATATTTTTCTTCTTCTAGGGTTGGTGCATTCATATTTGATCTCTCTTTTTTTAATGCATACAAACTAGATGACCTTCAGGGATCAAGTTGTAAAGATATATTTGTCACTCAGGAAATTGAAAAATATATTAAGATATTTTAAGGTGAAAACTTTTTACCACATACTTCATATATTTGAGAAACTAATGCCTACCTGAGAGAAATTTACTGTGTCCTCTCATTGTGGTAATTCAGGCAATCAGTGTGTTTTGTCTGTATTGAAAGGGATGCTTTTCATCGTAGGGAAGACCCCTGTTGGCAAAATCATGAAGCATTTAGTGGCTTACCAAAAGCTTAGCGGTTTGAGCCCATTGACTTTTCTGTAGGAAAAAGATTTACAACTTTGGAAACGTTATGGGGTTGCTTTACTTTGTCATATAGGAATTACACTTTCACTCATTGCCATCGAGTTAGAATTGACCCAGAGCTGATCCTCCAGCAGGTTTTCTCAGGCTGTGAATTACACAGGTAGAGCTTGCCATCTTTCCTCATCAGAGCTCTAATGGATTCAGCCAGCCAGAGACTGTGGCCTTTGCCTTAACAGCACCACCACCCTGTGCACTGTGCCACCAGAACTCCCTGACAGGACGTTGTTGTTGTCATTGTTGGTATTATATGCCAAGTCACCTGTGACATAATGAATACCTTATTTCTTGATGGCAGTGGTGTTGCTTTTAGTCATTTATAGCTTAACAGATACTCTTCATAAATCTCAAAAATGGGAGAAAAGAAGGAATGGTGTTTTAGAAACTTAATTTGCCAAATTCATGGGTATTTATGGAATTCTCCGTTCGTGGAATTAACTGAGAAATATTAGTGAAACTTTTCGAATAAGCTAATTTGTTGATCAAAACTATGTAAACTTTTGAGTTTAATTTAGCCCCCACTTGAATCATAATCATTGTTCATTATTTTATGAAATGTAATCGAAGTCTTAGATTACTCCTTTGTATGCTAAACTCAAATTTGAGAGGTAATGTGGGTATTTAGTTATCTCTGTTAGCAATTTTCAACTCTGGCAAGTAGTTTTACATTTAAATGCTTTCATTTTATCAATTGTAAATTAGGTATATTGATATAAGAAAGAAAACTACCATTCCCATTGAATTGCCTTACTCATAGTGACCCTGTGTGTCAAAGTAGATTGGTACCCAGGTTTCCAGGGGCTGGTGTTTGTAGGAATAGGTGTCTAGGCTCTCCTTCCTAAACGCCTCTGAGTGCACTCCAGCTAGCAGGCTTCTAGTTAGCATCTGACTGAGTAGACTCTTGACCACTAAGGACCTCACTAATAAGGGAGGGTGTGGAAGAAAGAGATTAGTAGGAAAGATAATTATTTCTGTTCAGTTTACTTTATATTAAAATGGTAAAGACTGTTTTCTATTTTTTCCTACTATAAAAATGTGTAATGAGTACTAACAGACTAAAATGAATGTCTGATTTTATACTTTCTATTTTGTAGTTTTGAAGTGATTAAAGTTATTCATGGCAAATTGTTGGATATGGTGGGAAAAGTTCAGTAAGTAATAATCTTCATTTTCTTAGATAAATTAATTCAAAAGATATTTGAATAGTAAAATCTGGTACTAATTTATTCTGCCTATCCCTTATATTAACAGAATACCTATTATGTTGGTGGGAAATAAGAAAGACTTACATATGGAAAGGTATGTAGCTTGTAAAGAGTTACAAAATTTTAAAAAAATTATAAAATCAAGTCTAAAATAAGCACTGTAGTTCCATTTTTAATTCTTCTTATGTCAGCAGTATTTTTTCCACTATAGCTATGTTTTCAGAAATGTGGTTATGATTATACAAAACAGAAGCACAACTAATATAAATCTCATATGCCTTAAAAGTATTTACTGTAGAAAAAAACTTGATTAAAAAATTTCTTAAGTTATTCTGTCATTTTTCATAAGCAAAATCAGAAAAGACAAACAACTCATTACTGTCAGGTCAGAAGCAACTTGTAGCTGACCTTCTAATAGGTTTTCAGAGACTGTAAATCACATGGGAGATGATTGCCCATCAGCTGGTGATGATTTAAACCATGTGCCTTTGGGTTGACAGTGCAGTTTCTTACCCACTAGGTCACCATAGCTCCCTTAAAAGACAAAATAGCGTTTATATGTTCAAGCAGGCTTTTTAGTAGTAGCAGGGGATAGAGTTACCAAGATGAAAAGAAGCAAAGGCCCTTCTCCCTGTGATGCTTAATTATTCAAAAAAGAAGTATTTGTTGGCTATATGATCTACTATCTGTGCACAACAAAATTGAACCATGGACCCTTTTGTGGTTCTGCTGGCCTTGGGTGTTTAAACTCTAGCTATAAAATAGCTGATGTCTACAAATATTGGAGGACTAGAAAACAAAATAGGATTCTTTCAATTAGAAGTGTTTTTTTGGAACGTGGATAATGTGAGAAAATGTCTGTTCTGTTCCCTGAGTCTTTAGCATGATTGAAATGCTAACTTTCTTTCCATATTTGATTATAATACTGACAACATGATTCTGCTTAAAAACAATGTTTCTGGATATAAGGCCTATAGAGTCTGACCCTCACTAACTTTGGAAGGGGGAAGATCCCTCATCTACAGCACAATGACAGTTCTGATGAAGTCAGCCACATCTAACAATTCCTGTGCCGCCTGACCCTCCCACAGCTCTCACTACTTTTCTGTGGGTTCAGTAATCCTTTGAAGTGGTCACACATAGTCCTCATGATTATGGGCTTTGTTAGGGAAGTAACAGGTTACAACTCTGATAAATACAGTCTCAATATACAATTCTTCAATCAACATCATCTCTTCTCAACCATGTTTGCAGGCACGCCTCTTCCTGACCCTTCGCCTTGTAGCCTTGACCTTTGCCATGCTCAGGGATATGTTGCAAAGCTCGTTTAGCTCCACCAGTTATGTACCAGCATTATGCTGATGACACAACCTTGCTTGCTTAAACTGAAGGAGACCTGACATGCCTGCTACAGAGGATCAAGAACTGCAGCTTTTAATATGGATTACATCTCAACATCAAGAAAACAAAGGTTCTCACCACTGGACCAGTAGGCAACATCATGTGGAGAAAAGATTGAAATTGTCAATGACTTCATCTTCTTTGACTCCACAAGCAGCACCTTTGGTACCAAAAAGATCTGGAGACATATTTCACTGGGAAAGTTTGCTGTCAGGGTCCTCTTCAAATTTTGAGAAGCAGTGATGTCAGTTTAAAGACTTAAGGTGTGCCTGATTCAGACCGTGGTCTTTTCAGTAAATTGCTATGCCTTTGAGAGCTGAACAGTGAATAAGGATGACAAGAGGAGAATTGATCCCTTTGAGCTGTGATTTTGGATGGCCAAAGGAGCAAACCAGTATGTCTTAGAGAAAGTACAGCCAGAGTGCTCCTTGGAAGCAAAGATGACAAACTTCATCCCATATATTTTGGGCATATTCTAGGAGAGGCTGTTCTTTGGCGTGAGACATGCTTGGAAATGTGGAGGGCCAGCAAAAGAGAGGGAAACCCTCAACCAGACAGACGAGTTTGGCACAGGATAGTGCAGGGTTCAGAGCTATTGATCTTAGCATCACTGTGTGTTGTACTTGATTTGATGGCAGCTGACACATAACAGCAGCATAACTCTGTGATGAAATAACAAAGCCAATGACTAGAAAAGCCATATTGAATAATTTACTGCTTCTTGAGGAAAATAATTACTGAAGTGTTTTCTGTTTGATATGGTTTAATATAATGAAGGACAAATTATCATTTCCTTTTTTTTTTCTTTAGGGTGATCAGTTATGAAGAAGGGAAGGCTTTAGCAGAATCTTGGAATGCAGCATTTTTGGAATCTTCTGCTAAAGAAAATCAGGTATATATATATTTTTTTTTACTGAAATTAACATTATTCCCACTAACTGCAGTCATACGTGTTCTCCTAAGCCAGAATTACACATCCGTTTCTCTCTCCTGCTTTATTTCTGCCCTTGTCCATTTCTAAGACCAATTTTGGGTTTTACTTTAAGAAGTTGCTCTTTGTATTTTAAAAATTCTGTCAAGATTTTTATACTTAAGTAGGTTGTAAAACACATAGAAATTAAAGGAAAGGAAATACTATTTTGTTAAATATTTTGTCATAATAATCTTAAATCATTTGGCAATAATTTTATAATCACATCTCCTCCCCTCTTTCATTAGATAAAACATTACTTTTGTGTAATGTTTCTAAGGTAGACAGTACTTAAAAACCATTCTACAGTCATTTATTACCAGTGTAAGCCCTGGAAATACTCCTGAAGAAACTTGTCCTAAGTGGTGTGTAAATTCTGCTGAAATAGAATGCACAGCTTTTTGCAAAAGGTTTAATAGCTTATTTTCCTTTTCTTCCTTTTCTTTCTCCTTCTGTTGCTTTAATTTCATTTTGTCTATAATCTCTCACTAAGGCCTATAGCATCTAACTTTGTCTCCCACCTCCATGATTCACCAGTAATACCTTTTCTTAACCATGTAACCCTAAAAATAATGTAGTATAATTCCCATTGTCAAATCTGGCTTAGCCAAAATGTCAGTGAGAGCAATCATCAAGAGTAGTGGGACTATCTTCACAAAGTTATTTCTCAGCATTGTAGTAAAATGTACTTGGGCATTACATATCTGAGTCATTGGGTATAACCAGATAAATCTACTTTAACATGTCATTTTTCCTAAGCCTTTGGATAACTCTGCTACAGTATACAAGGAAATCTGATACTTCAGTTTTACTTAATATAATTATTTGCCACTAGTGGAGGGGCGGCAAAGGAGAGGAAAACCTTTGATGAGATGGATCGATTCTGTGACTGGAGAGTGGAGATAAGTGTGTTTGAGATGGCTAGGTTGGCACAGGATAGAAGAGTGTATAAAGCTCTTGTACATAGGGTCGCTATGAGTCGCAAGCGACTCGACGGCACGTAACAACAACAACATATAATCCATGCTTCACTGAAATCAGCCACATAAACTATTCTGTCCTCTCCTGCCTTCTGGAACTGAAACACGGAATGAAGAATTTGTGCTTCATGGGCCTGAATTGATAAACTCAGATTGATCCAATTTTATGCTCCTTGCACCATTATCTAGCATCCATGATAGCCATTCCTGTACGTATTCCCCAGGACTTAGAAAAATAAAGCCATTCATTTTAAGTGTGTGTAGTGTACCCTTCCTGGGTCACAAATTTTACTTCCCCATTTAGGTTGACTAGGATTTAAGTCTAGTTACAAGTTAGACACAGGAATGTAGGTGGTGGGGATTGGTGGTATTTGGACACATTGCTCAGTGTTTTATAAGGCATTTCCCCCAGGCAGTGCCCAGACTCTGCCACAAGTGAGCTCTCAAAGACTCATTAAGGACATCTGTGTTAATCTCAGTAGATGGAGGGCATAGAGCTGGTTCAAGGGAGCGTAGTGTCTTCGTGTTCTCCAACTTCCTATTATCTGCCAATGTGTCCTCATTCCAAGCTTGAAAATCCCATTTATTCCCTCACTTTTAACTTCAGACACCGTTCTAAGTTGAGATTTCAGTAAGCCTTGTAATTCAGCCACTCTTATAAAATGTTGGGTTATAGTATTAACAGTTAGTATCTATCACCAGTTCTATCAATATTTTACAGTAAAGTCAACATGTAAAGCAGGCTACTGATTCATGTCCACAGAACTAGAAGTGATTGGTCTGATGCAGATGCCAGATCAAGCTAAGAGAAGGCTTAGCTAGACTTCTGTTGATGTTCGATACAGGCCACACTCCTGATGAAACTTTTTCTGTAGATGGACTCTTCATAGTAGATTCCATCCAGGAAATTGTTACTTGAACCTCATGAAGGTAGTGGCTGCACCATAAATGCCAAACCAGAGAAACACAGGCAGCCAAACTGATAAATACACCTTACTTCTCATGCTTAACCAGAGTACCGTGTTTTAAATTAAACAATCTTTAGCAGGGTTCAGACAATTCATTGTTAACAAAATGTACAGTATTACGAGTTGTCACCAAGTTGATGAGAATACTGTTACCAGTGAACTGTCAGATCTTTTTTTACTGGTAGTAAGCCTTCAGCTTACCTTGTACACTTTGATTAATGAGAATATACTTTTGATATCTATGTGAGATCACAGATAATAAGTGCTTCTTGTTGTTGTTGTGTACCATCAAGTCAGAACCAACCCATAGCTGACCCTGCAGTCGGTTTTCAGAGACAGTTAATCGCATGGGAGAGGATTGCCCATCTTTCTCCTGTGGAGCAGCTGGTGGATTTGAACTTCATGCCTTTGGGATTGTAGTGTAGTTTATAAATAAGGGTCACATACCAAAGGTCCTTTCTTTTCTTAAGAGTTTCTTAAGAGTTAAAGAGTTTGGCTTGTATTTTAAACTCTTTTCTGTGCATCTTTTTAATAGTTGTTGTTGTTATGTGCCGTCAAGTCGTTTTCGACTCATAGCGACCCTATGCACAACAGCCCTAAACCCTTCTCTATCCTGCGCCAACCGCACTGCCTCTGACAAACCCATCCCGATTTCCCCAGTCACCGAATCAATCCATCCCATAGAGGGTCTTCCCTTCCTGCGCTGTCCCTCCACCCTCCCAAGCATGATGTCCCTCTCCAAGGACCCATCCCTCCTGGCAACATGTCCAAAGTATGTCAGAC